TTTTTTTTTTTTTTATTCTATAAATATTCTACGTGTACATATATGTGTAAATATTTTGTTATTTCACACATTTTTACTGATTTTAAATATTATAAATCGAACATTGAAAATGAATTTACAATTGTTGGTAATACGAATGGATCTTTTCACTTTAATTATTTAATTTAATAATCACCAACCCTTATATTATTACTAAAAAATAAAATCACTTGTCATAGACAAGTGTTGCTTATGATAAATTTTATAAAAATATTAACAAACATTGAAAGAGATGTTCTACAAATTTCCCAACGAATATAGATCTACTCTTATATAAACAATTTGTTATATAATATTTAAGTAGCAAACAAAGTATATACGTGTTGTAACAACTGTCTATTGTTGTAGAATATATTCAATTGAAGTACAATGCCGCGTGCAATTATCTAAATTTAAATGCAACCACAGAATAGAATGGTGAATGAAAATATTGCAAGTTAGGTATTCAATGTGGGGATATGCGCTCTCCAAGTCACGAATTTTAAATGTTTACTTTCATTTGTAAACTTCCTCCGCGACTGATAACCATTGTACAACAATAATCTTATCTTTGTATTCGCTATGCAAACGAGCCAATCTTCCTAAGGTGCAATCTGTTGGGCGTGATAATTAGCTGCAAGGTTAGACAGCTTAATGGCCAACATAAGTTCTCGCACGTTGTTATACATTTCATCAATTTTTATTTTTATTTTTAAATTTCTTCTTTACGAAATACGGCTCGTGAGAATTCAAATGTAAGAAAATTCTCATTGGAATTTCTTTCTTCAATATTTTCACATGACTTTGTGTATTAACAACTTGCAATGAGAATTCGTATTGTCACGTGTTACGTCGTTAAAAGCCGGGAACGAGATATCCTTTATCTTTTTTCTTTTCTTTTCTTTTTCAAATGTCATATCTTTTTTTATTTCCGAAAATTATTGATTTTCTTTTTAGTTTAGTTTCGGAGTTCTTGAAATATTAAAATATATATATATATATGTATATAATATTTTATATATAATATATGTTTTGTAATATTTCAAAAACTATAACATATAAATATATTTATTATATTATTAGGGACATTAAAAGAATTTAATATACGAAAATCCATTAAATGAATCTACATGGATTATTTAGAATCAAGGAAAACTAAAACAGTGAAGTTTTCTTTGCTAAACGAATATATCTACATAATGTATACTAATTTTGTAGTTTTATGGCGCACATCTTGTAATAATAATTTATGCTTGACTTTTTACGAGCAAACGCGCCTTTTTATATCTCGTAAGTAACCTAACTTAAATCTAAATTTGGTCATAATTTGATTCAAAGTCGAAGCTAGAAACTGTAACGCAAATTCAAATACAAACTTATTTAATTTTGTAATTCACCGCTTTGTAAAAGTATTTTTCTGCATTGAATTCAGTGTCATTCTTGAAACAGAAGATTTCCTCTGTATTTTTTAAATTTAAAACTAATATTAAATACTAATAGTAATAAATATAAAGATCGAAAGACATTTTACATACATATGTAAAGAGATTCTAAAGCAAATTTAGTTATCATCGATGCTATAATA